TATTGCCATTGTTTTGTGAAGGTAAAAATACTAATTAACGGCTCAGTGTTGAACCTGATTCCCTTTCTGGACTCGGACAGCCTTGACACAGACTAGGCTGTTAAGGACTCGGTCTGAAGACCAACTCGGCCCCTTTGGACTCAGACTTGGATTCAGACTTGATTCGTTAAGGGCTTGGTCTTGCCTTGGACTCGGCAAAGGTGGACTCGGAACCAATGGTACAGTGAAGGCTGCACTATTCAACCCCCATGCTGCTATTTACATATTCGCACACACTCTCATCAGCATAAATATATCAAAGAGCCAAAGGATCATTATTATAGATGAAAAGTAGAGAAAACATTACAACAGTGCACAGCTTAATTTGAAGAAACATTCATATCACTCTGTATATTTTAAGCACAAGAAACAGTTGGAAAGTCATTTGACTAACACTTTCCCCTTTGTTTTATCTCATATAAATTCCAAACTGCACCATTTCACTTTTATAGGTTTGCTTGGCCTTGTCCAATTTAGGTGATTTTCTCCAGTGCTCCCACCCTGCACATATATTCAGCTCCTCAGGCACTGGTGAGGTCAGATAGTCCACAAAGGGGTCATTCAGTGTCATGAATCTGAAGTCTGGACCCAAGGGCGTACATTTGGCTTTAACATTGGTAGGGACAGAACAGTTACAACACTTTTCACCTGAGACCCAAAGCTCCATCTGCTTCATCTTCCATCTGCTTTACTACTGGCCTACTTCTGTCTGATAACCTGCTGGTAACATTTGCTAGCATTACTCTTCTCTCCTCTCTTAACGGCTAGGTTAACACTTAAAATGTACCGCTTTGCGTGACACTATCATCCTTACTCATCTTGTTGGCTGTGCGTTGTCCTGTATAAGGCTGCTTGTGTTACTTTGGTGAAGAGCTCTTTCTCAAGGGCCCAACAGTGGCTGGGATTTGAAGTCGCAACCTTCCAATCTCTGATGCAGAACCTCAACCACTACTGACACTTTGTAAATTTATTTTCCTCTTTTCCTATCTTTATTTCTCTTTGAATCATTCCATTTTACTCTTCTCACACCCATCATTCACCCTCTTTCCTTTTAGTTGTAACGCTTGCAGTCATTCAACTTTCCCTATTCACTTTTAAAGTGCTGGTGTTCAAACTGGCCTGAGTGCTGTGTGTCACACAAACATTGAGGAGCATTGGGAGCTCCAGCACTGGGTCTGGACTACAGGGGGGCTGTGATGCGCCCACCATTGCAAACAGGGCTCCTCTTGTGCTCTTTAGGAGTCAGACAGAGCAAAGCACTGACCTGGAAAGCAAGCCTGAGAGTGTAGCGTAACTCAAGGCTCGGGGTTCAGCTTTCCTGGCTGGGCAACAGCAACAGTGGAGTGGAGTGCAATCTCTGCCAGGTTAGATTGCCCATTGAGATAAGGGCCAAATACCATATGGGAGTTGTTAAGCAATACTGCTACAACACAAGACAGAGATAATGCACTGTCTAGAGCTGTGTGGAGGAATCTTAGCTTGGTTTGTTATGCTGTGCAAAATGTATCTATAAGATAGGAAGGGGATTTCTGTAAGCATTTGCGCACATGACTAGTTGGACCTTCTAGGTAAAGCATCTATATTTCGTGATTGGCTTAAAAAGGAGGTACAATTATTTAAATAGGAGGTACAATTATTTCCATCGTGTATGTGTAATATGCCTTTGTTGTTCCTTTGTGTTCCCATATTGCTATGATAGACCTTCTTCAGGAACAGTGGGAATAGTATTTAATTTTTCCATAAACAGCAAGTCCCTGATGACTTACGTATCAGAATTTCAATGATTCTTACTGCTGTAGACTGATGGGATGTTTTAGGTGAATGGAAATGCTTAAAATGTAAAATGTCTAAAATCACATGATAATCAAATGAATTCTTTTGATTATAAAATATCTGACTTTTAAAGAAATGCCCCAAATTGCCATATATGGTAAACAACTTCCCTTTAAAAAGCCCAGTAGCCTGCATGTGGTGCCGCATATTGTGGACAACGTGTAGCATTTCGGAAGAAATGAGAAATAAATTAAGCCAAGTTGAAATCTCTCTGTGCTGTTTAGCATGATGAAAAAATTGTATTCCACCTATCCACTTGACCACAAATTACCTGTACATTAACTAAGTGATACCATTTTCTGTTCACATACTGTAAATGACTTCATCAAAATTGAGTGACTTTATGATTATGTCTGTGATGGCATGAAAATCCCTCATTATTGTTGTCTTTTCTGCTGTGCGTGACCAATATGCACTGGTTAAAATTGCATGGACCTGGGACCCACTGCACCACCGTGCCACCCAAATACAAAGCTGAGCATGCCAAATTAAGCAAGGCAAGATCACTGTCTGTGTAATTCCAATCAAACTTTAGATATACAGTACCTTTTATATGATTTTACTTTACATTTCATCTGCGTCATCGAGTCAGAAATTACTTTGTCAGTTATGCTGACATGATTGAAAATAAGTGCAATTGGAGCTCATAATCAGTTTACCCAAGAACCCAACAAACTATTACTATTAGGGTTTCTTGCATATGCATGGTCAGGAGTGTGCATAAATATACACACATCCTCATGCACAATGACTTGATGAATCACATTATATGCATAGAAATGTGTGTGCATAGTTTACACACATAACTGTGTGTATGCACAGTTGATAATTGAGACCACTGGTTTTGGAACACACACTGTTTAGCAATTTGTAGAAGGTGAAAAAAAGTTAAATATTAGGAAGAAGGTCAGGATGAAGGCATCAGTTCAGTTCAGCACATGTTAACTGATGGTAATCAGCCCTTATATTACTAATGACTTAATTTCCAACTACTTGCTTCTTATAGTTTCACATGTTAGAGTGATGCCAAAAAATACACCCACAGTTACCCATAAAAGGCAAACACAGATGTAGCACTATCCAGGCTTAGCAAGGAGTGATTCACACTTTCCAGGACCTACATACAGTGACAGTGCACCTGTCCCCTATGTCTTTCCTTAACAAGTGTTTGTGGTTGTGTGTCTATATACAGTATGTGTGTGTGGGCAGGTAGGTCTTTACCTGAACATGAGAGGAGAGTGGGAGTTTGTGTAATGTGAGTCTAGGATCAAGGTTATCTTGTAACTGGCTCTATGGTCAGATTTATCTTTAAGCTACTCAGACTACTATGCAGAGCTCTCTTTAAGGCTTCAAGTTTCACCCCACATCAAAGTTAAAGCTTATTATTCACAATGTTGCATGAGCATTTGGCAAGCATCAGGATTTCAATCCATGTTCTTTTTCTGCCTCACGGCACTGCGAGGTCCTATGGGTATCCAACTTAAACTAGTACGGCCCTTAATCAAGACAGAATGGTTATTAACCCTGTGCTTTGAAAGTTCAAGTCATGTCAGCCATGTGACATGTAAAATGGATTTTGTGTCCTCTCGCATTTGGAAATTTCACAATCAGACATCATTCTCTGCCAAGCAGTTTCTGGTAAACTGATAAAGAAACACTGACCCAAGGGTGAGCATGTTATAACCCCCAGCCAGGATCTATGGGCTTTGTAATTTAAAAGCAAACCTATTCAGAATTGAAGAGAGGAGGGATAATTATGATGTGTATCAGTTGGAAACCCCCCAAAGTGGTGTAGAAATACAATTCAGCCAACTTGAAAATGTTTGATACAGTTCTGATACAGAAAGCCAGACAACTATAAGAAACCACACTGCTCTTTGCTGGTAGCTACATCTTAAAATGTGATGCAAAAGGTCATAGAGAGAAGGCAAGTATTTAAACAAACACATGAATGAATTATTAACAAATAGAGCTGTAGCAGCTGTTCAGACACAGATGTGGCCAACATTCATTCATGTTGTGAAACTGAAAGCAAATTTTACAATTGTTAACTGTTTATCCCAAGGGCCAGAAATGGGTTCCTAATACAAACCATGTTTTGGTGTGTGTTGTTCAAATATGATCCATAGCTAACATGGACATACATGCACATTTGTAAGAATTTGACAAAATTTATATGAATTGTTATGTATTAGAGCAGTTTTATCCAAATAAATCACCTTTAATCATAATAAGCAAGGCATTGCTTGTTCAAGTTTCCATAAGATCTAGCATGAATATATGTTTACTGATATCTATTTCTATTTAATACTTCTAAGCATAACAGTCTAACAGTCTAACAGTCTAACAATAACTATTATATTGTTCTCTACCTCTCTCCTATCTCTACCTCTATGCAAATAAACACTCTGGTTTAGTGATTACAGTATGTTTCACATGATCTATATATAACTGATATTTCCATTTGTACTTAACATCTTTAAATTTAACACTTGGATTAACTGAGATTTATTGTTTATAATTATCATTATCATCATCAGCAAATGCAAATTTTAGATATGTGGAAGTGTGGGTTGTGGATTTCACAGGGTTATTTTCAAGCTGGCTTGTTTGTTTCTAGAGTGGGTCACAAAAGGTTAAGGATCATTAATAGTTGCAGCTTTTTTTCTTTTTTTTGTCAGTATGTACTTTCTGCCCACAGATGGCTGACAATCGAGGACATGAGATAACTGCAAACACAAGCCCTTGAGCTTCAGAGCTGACAACATGATCAATAGGACAAATCAGGACTTCATGGTTACCTTTCATCTCTTTATTAGTATTAATTAATAAAGGTTAGTGCCTAGCAAGATGGGAAAACTGCATCATCATCTTTTGATTTCAGTCCTTTAACTAAACTTGTGAGGGCACCATGTTGTGCCCTGATTAAAAGCAGCACGTAGCATGGCAGTGAGATGAAGAAATAGAGTTTTGTTTCATTTTTGTTTATATATATTTTTATTTTTATATGTTTTTTATGTATATTTTAAGTGTATAGAAAGTGTAGAATTTTGTCTCAGTTTATAATGCTACCTATAATAAATATATACAGTGTCCACCTTTTAATTTGAAATATACATTATGTAGGATCCCTGAAGGACAAGTGGTTAGGCAACAGCACTCTCACTGATGCTGTCTGGGTTCGATTCCTGGCCAGGGAATCAACCCCAGCCACTGGGGTTGCGTGCTACAGTGCACTCTCAGTGCCCGTTCCAAGCCTGGATAAAATTGGGGAGGGTTTGCTTCAGAAAGGGCATCTGGTGTAAAAACTGTGCCAAATCAAATACGTGGACCAGTGATCCACTGTGGCAATCCCTAACGAGAGCAATCGAAAGACAAACAACAACAGGCACTCTGATGGTCTGTTATCAAATTGATATAACCTGATCTTGCAACACATATTGTGCAACATTATTATAAATTATATATGACAGTTTAAAATGATGAATGTCAGCACTCCACCCAAATGTCCCCAAAACTGCCACATGAATGTTATGTGAACAGATTAACCATGTTTATTTGATTTGGCACATTTAGTATGTGTGGTGGTGAAATTCAGAGGAAATGCATAAATGCCTTCAGGATGTATGAGAAGAAGTAAACAAGTGTGATGTAATGCACTGCTTGTGTTCATGAGTGAGTACTGAACTTGTGTTCATGAGCGACTTGTGTTCACTTCAAAAATCTATTGACTCCAAGCCATCCCTGAAAATTAGCTGAGAGTCTGCTGCTTGCATTTATTAGTATCTGCATAATGGCCCTGCAGACAGACAGCACACACAGACACACACACACACAATCCATTTGCTTCTCATGTATTTCGTAGTGTATTGCCCATCAAGCTCAAGCTCAGTGTCTCTCTGTGATCAGTGGTGAAATGCAGATACTATATATACTACATATGTATATATCAATACATTCCGTTCCCCTAAAAAAATAAAATTTAAATCTTTTTGTAGACATTACACATCGGCCATTTCTGATTATCTTCATTTTTCGTATACTTACAGCAGAGGTCATCAATCTTATCCGCAAAGAGCCAGTGTAGCTGCAAACTTTTATTCCAACCAAGACGGTTGTAGGTTTGTATGCTTGCAGGTTTTCATTTCAACAAATCAGGAGTCACACTTGATTCACTTGTTTAACCTGTTCATATTTGCTATCAATCATTATCAGGTTCCTGCAAACTTTTATTCCAGCCAAGCAGGAATCTGACAATGATTGAAAGCAAAGATGAACAAATTAAACAAGTGGAATCAAGTGTGACTCCTGATTTGTTGAAATGAAAACCTGCAAGCACACCAGCCCTTTGTAGATAAGATTGAAGACCCTTGACTTAAAGTAAATCAAAACCAAATCCACCTAGACTCTTTCTGCCGGGTTTGTTGACTTACCACATTGCTGACACTTATAACACAGATACAACTGGCTGTAGATAAAATGTGTAAACATGCAAAAAATTGGTGGCACAGTTGTGCAGTGGGTAGCATTGCCAAAAAAATGAAAAAATTGAAAAAAATTGTCCACCCGTGCTCATACTCAGTGATGTGTTTTGGCCTTCCAGAAATCCAAACATGGTTAGCTGATTTCACTGCCACTCTCTAATTATATCACCTCATCAAGAGCTAAGCTACTTTATCAAACAAGGAAGGAAAGCACAGAAAATCACCCTGAGGGAGAAAACAAACCTGACCCCAGGAAATAGCTGGAACATGAGAGCAGATATTGATCGGCAGCTTCGGGTCCCAGCCATGATTATCACAACTTCTCTTCAGATGATGTGTTATGGTCTGCAGAATTAAAAACATGGGAAGTCTCATGGGAAGAAGGAGTGCGCGCAGCACATCAGCAAAAGAAACACAAGTACTCAGATTTAGCTGTATCTGTGAAGACATCAAGGAAAAAATTTTCGTGATTGGATACGTTTCTTTGGCTGTTTCTACACTTTAACCATTTTAGCTGTAGCCAAAGCTAAGGAGAACATTGTGTTTATGACCAAAACAAACAAACAAACAAACAAACAAACAAACAAACAAACGATAAATGAAAAAGATATATGATATTTAAATATATTTAAATGATTATATATTGTCTTTACATTTTTTATATAGTATACTCTCACATGAGCTGAAGAGTCAAATTGCTTTTAGGTTTGGAAGGAGTCAGTTAAATTTACATTAACATTACATTAAATTTACCTGCTATGGTGGCTATTATGTTTTGATCCTGTAATTAAGAGTTGAGCAGAGGTGAAGTCATCAATAAAGAAAAATATGTATACTCATTTGCTTCTGTTGATCATTCAGTGTGTTCAGTGTAATAGCTAGAAAGAAAATCATCATCATGAAGGGTCATGGGTACAGGGACAGTCAGAGACAATCTGAAGCAAATTATTTTTTTCTTTTTTTTTTATAAAAGCCTAAAAAAGAAAAAAAAATTAAGGTGAGCCTTGGCAGATAAGGGTGAAATCTGTTGGACAGGTAAATAAACAAATTTATTACCTTTGTTCTCCCTTCTTTCTTTTTCTAACTTTGAGATGTCATATACCTTATCTGACAACATGCAAGCACAATTTTTATCTCAAAAAGCCAGCAAAAGAAAATCTCCAGTAAGTGTAAGGCTAACCACTGGCCTGATATCAAAACTGATACTGTTAGCTCATGCCCCTAGGGTCAATCACTTAAATACAAAATCATTTGTCTGTATTCTATCATCAACTTGCTTGTTTCTAAACATCTTATTTTCTACTGCCACAATGCATACAGGGCAAGGAAAAATGTAATGTTATGTTATGCCATCCACAGTGTGTGGTTTCTTCCCCAAAAGAAAGAATTATTTTAGTCTGTTTGGTCGTATATGCAAATGAGCCCATTTTTTTCTGTTCAGAACACTAATACCATAATCCTGTGAAATGGGCTGTATTCTCAGCACTGTATTCATTGTGTTGTCATTACATATTGTAGGCAAACACAGCAGGATGAAAATGTCAGCTGACACCTGAAGGTAACAAGTGTAACAAGAGCTTAAATCTGGTCTGATTCCAACATTTATTTTCTATTTAACTTCCTCACTGTAGCACCATGTAGCTGCCAGTTGTTTTCTAAGACACAGAATTATTTAGAATAGTTCTTCTGAATAATTCCTGTTGATTGTGCTATTGACAATTTACCTTTTAGGAAAGTCTTAGCACTTGGTGCATTAGTAAATTTTGTCTTCTGGAGTTGAACTGTGATATTGTTTGGGTCAATGTTTTTTTATCTTAATAATAGATACATCTAGTCTACTAGAGGCCATTTGATTGTGTACAATATTTTAGTCACTACATTCTTCCGAGCAGGTTTTTAAATTAGATCGCATTTGTATTTCATGTATGGCATGTATAGGTGTGTCCTTAATGGTTAAAGCTGTCCAAGGGTGGACTTCAAATATTGATATTAGGATTGCATGTCCAGGTTAAAGCTGGTTTGATATTGTACTGGAGTATTTGGATTTTGGGAGTGTGCATGATTCTACTTTGTCATGATCTTATCAAAACTGGAGCCAACCATAAAGAACAGTCAAAATAGGATTTCAAATAAGATGTTATATTTGGATTTTACTAATTATGATAACGTTCCAGTTAATGTGTTGAATAATGAATGTAGCTAATTACAGTGCTCAAATAGCTTTACCTACAGTTTGAAGTAGCTTTTGCTAGCCTTCTGCCCTGAAACCTCTTAGTGGTGTGACCTAGACTTGACCCAGCTGGAAGTGGATTTGCCTTTAGAAAGCCCAGAGGGTTGGGCTTTATAGACTAGCACCAATACACATAGTGTTAAAAACAGCTTAGTTGGTCTTAATGCTCCAGTGCTTTATTCATACTGTTAAACTGTGGTTTGGTTTTGCTTCATGCACCCAAACCAACTTTTCTGCATTTCAATTTCTCAAACATTTAAACCAGCTATGTGATAATGGACTAATGAACACTGACAGAAACAGGTGTAATTCCTAAATTGTGGATAAGAATTATGATTAAACCAAGCTTACTTTGCAATAAGTAATTCAATTATTTAAACATGTTTGATATGCTGTCAATATACAGGTACTTCAACTGCAACCATTTGCCTCTGCCATGGGTTCTGGGTGAAGTACCTCTATAATTTTATCTACAAATAAAAAGTATTCCAAAGTAGTACAGTGCTGTAGTGGGTAGCATTACCACCTCACAGCTCTAGGGTCCCTGGTTCCTGAGCTCATGTTACTGTCTGTGCAGAGTTTTGCAGGTTCACCCCATGTCTGCCCGGGTTTCCTCTGGGCTCTCCGGTTTCCTCCCACCTCCCAAAAACATGCTGGTGGATTGACAACTATAAACTGTTCCTACGGTAGGCATGAATGAGTGTGTGAATGTGTGTGCATGTTGCCCTGCAATGGACTGGCCATCCAGGGTGTATTCCTGCCTCACACTTAGTGTTTCTGGGATAGGATTCACCGCGAACCTGACCAGGATAAAGCAGTTACTGGCGATGCTACAATAAGACAATTATCCACAACATAAGACAAAATCAAAAAAGCCAAATATATTCAAGGTTTTGCCATGATCCTCTCAGTTTCCAGACATAATCTGAAGAAGACAAGACATTGTATGACATCTGGCAGAGTTTATAGACATGCCACAAAGAATAAGAGGCAAATTGCAACTGAGAGGATCCAGTTAAGTAATAACTAAAGCTGTATGTTATTAAATTAAATACATACTGTATGTACATCAAATTTGAAAAGAAAATCTTAACAGACACTTTTACAATTTTTGTCACCTTTGACAATAATGAAGGATCTGTGAAACCTATCAATCTAAATATCTTTTGGTTTTAGACACACTTCTTCATCTTCTTGATTTGGACCTATGAAAACCTTTGCACTCAACTCTAAAAGCTTGAGAATAATCATTTTCATTAGATGTGACAGTGTATGACATTTTGCATATGAAGCTGGATATGCTGTGTATAGTTTGGTAGATAAGCTTGCATTGACCTATGGTGAGGTCTCGGATCTCAGCCATTCAAATCCCTGCCTCAGTTCCTGTACATGGTCTGGTTATATTACATGAGAATATCACATCTCTCCTGTTTTGCATTAGCTTGCAAATTGCTTCCATTACATTGCTCATCATTTTGTTCTTCTA